CTCCTCTGGAGGGTGGGTTCTATGACATCATGTCCTGCTGAGGTCCCTCCCCTCCCCAAACCCTGGCTTCCTCAGGCTCCACCTCTCCCCCCCCAAATGTCCAGGAATTTCCCAGAATTCAGAACCTATAAAGGTTAGTTAAGAACAGAAGAGGGCCAACTCTTAAAATTCAAACCTGTGTGGCAAGCAGAAAATGCCATGTTAAATTGCCACCAGAAGAAGAACATCTGAAGTGTTGATCCAGGCGGGGAGCCGTGTTGATCTGAAGCAGCAGGACAAAGTTTGAGTCCAGCGGGGGCACCTTTAAGACCAACGAAGTGTCATGCGAGGTTTTAGCGTTCATGTGCAGGCACACTTCCTCCGAGGTGGCCGATAGGTCCGTCCTAGGATCCTCGCCCGCCAGGGCTTTTTTTGTAGAAAAAGCCCAGCAGGAACTCATTAGTATAATAGGCCACACCCAACAGCAGAAACACATTAGCATATTAAGCCATGCCCCATTCTTTCCCTTAGCTTTAAATGCCTTCCCAATCCTTGCAGGGCTCTTTTTGTAGCATGTACTCATTTGCATATTAAGTGACACACCCCTAATGTAGCCAATCCTCCAAGAGCTTACATTAGCTCCTGTAAGAAGAGCTCTAATTCCTGCCCAAAAATAGCCCTATTGCCCGCTACTGTGTTGGAACCTGAAGCTGCGCTCATACCCCTGCCCACGTGCAAGCCCAAGTGCATGTACACTCCCTATGGATACACAACAACCCCCGTGCTCTGCATTCAGCCCAGTTGGGCCTTTGTGACTGAAGCTCTTTGCAGCTCCGTGCCATGCAGATGTACGTCTGGGTGGGTCGTCTCTGCATGCAAAATGAAGTGGAGATTGTGTCTCAATTTTCCTCTTTTAAAAAACAACAACCACAACCACCAAGAGAGCACTGCAGATACAGTGCTTACCTTGATAGCATTGTGATGTCATTAATGAATTGCTAATACACTTTCGGAGACCGCTTCATTTCTGTCCTTTGTGCCTTCCAAAGCCAGGGTTGTTTTCTCTCTCTCACTTTAATCTTCCCAGCACAATGCCGTTCTCACTGACTCGTGCATTTTGAAACAATCAACTTAGTATAAACCAAAGAAAATTGTTTTAGTAGCGCCGGGGTTATTTATTGGGTATGTGTTGTTGTCAGTAGGTAAATATAAATACGGGAACTGGGGTGGAGAATGGTTTACCACCTCCGGAGGCACTGCATAAGGAGTGTTTTTGATGCCTCTTCAATCTGCATTTGCCCCGGGTGGTTCTGAACAGCACAGGAGGCCAAGGGCATGGTATTCTTTCCCCAGTAGTGAGTGAGCGTGTTCAGGCGCCACTTGCGCTGTCGACGTATAAAGTGTCAGAGGTCATGTTTGCCTGCCAACGAGCATGAAGAACACTTCCTGTTCAGACCAAAAGGTGTGCTTTGGTTTAGGAACTGGGACACAATCGAGCATTCAGATGAAACCTTGGTATAAAAGGTGGCTGTCTGTAATCCCCAGTTATGAGAACTTCTGCAATTGAGACTGGGTTGATTGCCTGCTAGACAAGCAGGGAAGCCTTCGTACACTTCTTGTAAAGACGCCAGTGTTAACTTGAGTAAGCCAAGGTGTTATGTATTGCGATGGAACTGTACTTTTGAACGGGCTGCAACGGACATGTGAAATAGCGAAGCTTAGAACACGTAACAATAGAAGGCTAGGATCCCAGAATGAACCAACAGATTGACCCGAATCCTAGTAAGTCAATTGCTTAACAATACTCTGTAAATAGCCTAACATGGGGAGTGTGGTGTGTGTGTTGGGTGTGGTGTATTGTACGAATATAAGCAGGGCTCGGACTCTGCAAGTTTGTCTTTTAGTTGAGCTGAAAACCACTAATAAATATGAGCTGATCACTCTACACGTCTGAACCCAGTATATTACAGAAGGGCTAGATGCACCTTGAACCAAAGCTTGTTTTAAAAAGTAGCGCCGGCCTAGAACCAAACTCTCCTCCTCTGAGGCTGTTTCTCAAAGTCCCTACATTTCCAGCTCATTGTTGTTATCATATCAGAAGCTTTGCTGTTATTGCTGGCCATCAGACACAATTGGAGCCCCTTCTACCCTTGCTCTCCGCAACCTGCAACGAGGCAGTTTTTAGAGCGATAGTTAATATTTTTAATTTTATCCCTTCAAAAATTGCCTCTCGCCGATGGATCTGGCAGGAATGCATTAGGAAACACATTCTCTTCCCAATTTCGACTGATGGGATTTCAGAGCGGCTGCCGACACATCATAACACTCCTTTCTCCCCCCCCCCTTTTTTAATCTGCCTTTTTATTTTATTATTTTATTTTAATTTGTTTTCTAACTAGTTTAATCAGGTTTCATTAGAGAAGATGTTTTTTTGCTAATATGCTCTTTGATGGCAGCTTTTGATGTAGCTGGCTCACAGTCGCATAAGCATGTGGCACGAAGGAAGGTGTCCTCGCAATTGTGAGGCCATCTTGTCACCGGCAAACCCCGAGGAGGCTTCACAAAAATCCAGATGCTGCGATCCAAATAATTGTATGTTATACGTGCTTCTTTAATGTGTGCTAGAAACAGGGAGGGCCACAGTCCTAGCTGGGACCGTGCTTGTGATCAATATTCTTTAGGGGGATCAATATCCTTTAGGAGCCAGTTTGGTGTCGTGGTTAAGAGCGCAGACTCTAATCTGGGAGAACCGGGTTTGATTCCCTGCTCCTCCACATGCACCTGGCTGGATGACCTTGGGCAAGCCATAGTTCTCTTAGAGCTGTTCTCTCAAGGACAGTTCTCGAAAGAACTCTCTCAGCCCCACCGACCTGACAGGGTGTCTGTTGTGGGGAGGGGAAGGGAAGGGAGTTTGTAAGCCGCTCTGAGACTCCTTTGGGGAGTGAAGGGTGGGGTATAAATCTAATCTCTTCTTCTTCTTCTACCTCACAGGGTGTCTGTTTTGGGAAGGGGGAGGGGAAGGAGTTTGTAAGCCACTCTGAAACTCCTTTGGGTAGTGAAGGGCGGGGTATAAATCCAATCTCTTCTCCTTCTACAAAAAAAAACCGCAAATAAAATACAACACACACACCCCATTTCTTTTCTTTCATTTCATAGAATAATACAACCGTAGAGTTGGAAGAGACCCCCAGGGCCATATAGTCCAACCCCCTGCACAACGCAGGAAATTCACAAATACCTCCCCCTCCACACCAGTAGTGACTGCTGTTCCACACCCAGAAGATGACAAAAAAAACCCTTCAAGATTGCTTCCTGACCCCAAAGTGACAATCAGCATTTCCCTGGGTGTGTAAGAAAGGGCCACGAGAACCAACCACTGGGGCAACCCTTCCTGCCCTCCCTCTCATGAACGGCCTAAGTTCACAGAATCCACATTGCTGTCAGAGGGCCATCGAGCCTCTGTTTGAAAACCTCCGGAGAAGGAGAGTACCTCCTCCTGAGGAAGCCTGTTCCACTGAGGAACCGCTCTAACTGTCATGAAGTTCTTCCTCATGTTTAGCCGAAAACTCTTCTGATTAATGTCAACCCATTGAACCCATTCTTTTACTTTGATCTAAGCAAGTTTCTTGTCCTCTCGACTACCAAAATATGCCTCCGAGTGCCAGGGTGGAGGGGTGGTTCAAGTGCCAGACTAGGAAATGCGGGTTCAAACATTGTTGCGAAGGTCAGACGGAGGAGAGGAGAAAGCTTTCAGCCCCTTTGAGTCCCCCATTGGGGGAAAAGGTGGGAGAAGAAGAAGAAGAAGAAGAGGAAGAAGAAGAGGAGGAGATTGGGTTTATACCCCACCCGTCACTACCCAAAGGAGTCTCAGAGCAGCTTACAAACTCCTTTCCCTTCCCCTCCCCACAACAGACCCCCTGTGAGGCAGGTGGGGCTGAGAGAGCTCTGAGAGAAATGGCTCTTTTTCAAGAACAGCTCTTATCAGAACTATGGCTTGTCCAAGATCATCCAGCAGCTGCACGTGGAGGAGTAGGGAACTGGGCTTGATTCCCCACTCCTCCCAGGTTAGAGTCTGCACACTTAACCACTACACCAAACTGGCTCTAAAGGAAATAAATAAATAAAAATGTGCCTCAGAGTATGTTGGCAAAGTCCGATGAACTGTCTGAAGTCAGAGGGGTGGCTGGCTAAGGTTGGCTGTGACCAGAGGGGTGCCGCCGGGCTCTCTCCGTGTGTGAAGGGCCACCAACTAATTTTCAACTTATGGCGACCCCCAATGGATTAATGTCCTCCAAAACGTGCTTTCACTAACCGCCTCGCTCGGGTCTTGCAATAGGGTTGCCAAGTCAAAATATCTCCTTATCGGGGGACTCCCGCGCCGTGGCTGGAGCACGTGCGCACGTCACCCAGAAGTGACATGACGACGCCGGCATGCTGGGGGCGGGGCCACGACCATCCGAGGGAAAACCATAGAGTTTTCCCTTGGATGACCGTGCCCCACCCCCAGCGTGCCCACTGTGGTCGCGTCACTTCCGGGTGACGCGCACATCGAGGTGGGGTTCCCCCCGGGGCCTGATCCGCTGGCGGCAGGGAACAGGCCTCTGGGGCGGGGTTTTCCCTGCCCCCCAGGGGGACTTGGGAAGCCTGTCTTGCAAACTGGGGGGCCTTTGAGGCTTCCTTGACTGAGTCCAACCATCTCCTGCTGGGTCTTCCTCTTTTCCTTTTGCCTTCCACTTCTCCTAGCATGATTGTCTTTTCCATTGAGTCTTGTCTTCTCATAAAGTGGCCAAAGTACAATGGCCTCAGTTTGGTCATTTTAGCTTCTACGAGACTCCAGGTTTGATTTGATTGAGAACCCACTAATCTGTCGTTTTTGGCAGTCCACAATATCACAGAAAGGAGGGTGAGGTTTTCAAGAATGCCTAGACTGGAGCAGGGGCTTGTCCCAGGGTGAGAAGTGGGTTGAAATGGTGATCCAGGCCCTTGACCGGCACTTTCCTCCCTCCTTGTCCTCTCCGCAGGCTCCGACATGGCCGTCTTCTGCCTCCTCTGCGGGAAACGGTTCCAGACTCAAACCGCCCTCCAGCAGCACATGGAAGTCCACGCAGGGGTGCGCAGCTACATCTGCAGCGAGTGTAACCGTACCTTCCCCAGCCACACAGCCCTCAAGAGGCACCTGCGCTCCCATACGGGTAAGTGTCTCGGGCTGGGGTGCCAGTCAAAGGGAGTCCAGGACAGGCCAAGGTCAGGAGCCAAGAAGACAGTGCAAAGTCCAAAAAGCCAAGCCGGGTTCAGGAGCCAGAAACACAGAGCCAAGTCCACATCACTAACCAGAAACGTAGTCCAAAGCCAAGCTGGGGCCAGGAGCCAGGAACACAGAGCCAAGTCCAAAGCCAGGGGGTCTGAAGGTCTAGGTGAAAGAGCCGAGCTGGACTGGATGCTAGCAGCACGAAGCTGACATGTTGCTTCCACGAAGAGTACTGCCCAGAGTGTGAAATTAAATGCTGCTACCAGTTAGCCAGCTGCACGATCGGCCAGGCTCCTGTTAGAACTCTGGGCTGCCTGAGCGTCTCCCTTGTAGCCTGGCCTCTCTTCGTCTGCTTGCTAAGTTTTGTTGCAGTCGCTCCCTTAAATGAGTCACACTGGGGGTGAGTCAGGAGGACTTTCAGCTTGCAGTTCTTCCTTCTTATCTGAGCCAGGTGTGAAGACTGCTGTTACAGGCAACTGCCACCTATCCTCCTCTGCTGCTTCAGAGGGGCCAGCTGTGGTTTCTGCAGGCTCTGCCAGCTCATCCTCCTCCATGCCCATGGCAGTAAGTTGGGTCAGGGAGACAAAGAACACCTACCAAGGTGCGCCCAAAGGGGCTTCTGTGCCCCACAGGGAGAAGGGTGGCTTCCATTCTGGAGGAATTCTGGGAGTCCCCTCTTTTAAAAAATGTTGCATATGTGCTTACAACCGTGGGCCAGAGGTGGGCGAGGTTTTCCCTCTGTTGTGTACACGTGGGCTGCTGGTGGCAGAAAGTGCCATAAAGTCACAACCAGGGTTGCTGTGCAGAGGAAGGTGATGGCAAACCACCTCTGTTTGTCTTCTGCCTAGAACACCCAATGGCTGTGGTCACCAGGTAAAGGTAAAGGTTTCCCTTGCTTGAAAGCCAGTCAATTCTGACTCTAGGGGGCGGTGCTCATCTCCAGAGACTTCTCCATGGCCATGTGGCCGGCATGACTAAACACCGAGGCGCATGGAACGCTGTTCCCTTCCCACCGAAGTGGTACCTATTTATCTACTTGCAGTTTCTTGCTTTCGAACTGCTAAGTTGGCAGGAGCTGGGACCAGAGACGGGAGCTCACTCCGTCCTGCGGCACTCGGGTCTCAAACTGCTGAACTACTGACCGTCCGGTCTGCAGCTCAGCATCTTAACCTCTGAGCCACCGCAGCCGGGGTCACCATGAGCCAGTCGCAATTTGAGGGCAAAAAAGAAAAGAAAAACTTCAACAGAAGTAAAACGTGTGACCCAGCCTCCAGCAGCAAAAATCCCAAAGATGTCTCGTGAGCTGTGGGGCTCAACTTAACTGGCTGCTGCTTCCCGAGAGACCCACAAGGGTGTCGGCCAGCCCACCCCTCTCTCTTCTGCAGCCCTCCAGCCTTGGTGGGGATTGGTGCTCTTGCATGGCGCACGGCTCTCCGCTTTGCCTCATTACTATTCCATTCTCTCCGGCTCCATTTGCCTCCAGCGCTGCGTGTTTAGCATCCGCAGCTGCGTTGGGTAAACGGGCCAGCCGAGCTCCCAGCAGTGACAGATCCCTGATTTACTTGGCCAGCTAGAGAATAAAGCCGTAAGCTCTGCTGGCCGGCCAGGCGGTTTACAGGGACCTCCCCACAATTGGCTGTCCTGCCCACTAAGGAACATGCCAGGTAACGTGATGGAGGCCGGCTCACAGCTGCAGACAACTGGCCGGAGGGGGCTCTAATTAGTCCCGTTAGTCGTGGACTTAATGTCAGCCTCATTAAGACGCTCCACAACGTTAATCAACATGCCATAAATTGGATTGTGTGTGTGTGTGTGTGTAATGACTGGCGGCTGTCTTAGTTGTGATCTAGCTCTGGTGTAGCTCTGGTCTACAGATAACAAGGCAGTTGTCATTGACCAGTCTTGCCAATGATTGAGATTTTGTCTCCTTTAATGTGAGACGGTTGATCGTTACATTTGCCAAGACCTCTTGGGAAAAGGCTTCCGGGTTCAAAACTCGAGTTTTCTGGGCAACAGAAGAGGAACGAAATGATGTGCTAAAGAAATCACAGAGGACTGCAGAGAATGCCGGCAGTCAGGGGTGCAAATTAAGAGGCCGGTCCCTGTTAAGATTGGTGTTTTTGTTTCTCTTGAAAAATGCACATAAACGCTGGCAGTGCACCGTGGTGTGGGAGTCCTCCCATGGAAGGGCTGTGACTCAGCGGCAAAAGCATCCGGTTGGCATGCGGAAGGTCCCCAGGTTCAGTCCCTGGCATCCCCTCCAGTTAAGGGCTCTGGGTATACATGAACACACCTGATGCTGCCTGATCCTGAATCAGACCCTCAGTCCATCAAAGTCAGTATTGCCTACTCAGACTGGCAGCGGCTTTCCAGGGTCTCAGGCAGAGGCCTTACATAGAAACATAGAGTTGGGAAACAGAGAGCTTTCATATCACCGGCTGCCAGATCTTTTAACTGGAGGTGCCAGGGATTGAACCTGGGACCTTCTGCATGCCAAGCAGAGACTCGACCACTGAGCCACAGTCCCTCCCCATAGGAGAAGACCAGGGAAGCTCTTGTCTGCCTGAGGTCCTGGACAACTGCTACGGGCCAGAGGAGACCATTTCGGACCAAGGTCCCGACGTGGGATAAGATAGCTGTGCATGTTTCCGAGTCCCCAAAATACGACATCGGGACTTGCCACACGCACAGCATTTTAGAAAACGGCTCGGCCGCGCCTGCAGAACTTGACTGCAAGGTTGGAATTGATGAGGTGGGGGGGTCCTAATTTAGGAGAGGAGGGTGCTATGAGGGTGGGGGTGGGTGCGCAGGGGGAGACAAATAAGCCGGAGAGAGTAAAATATCATGGCGAGGAGGAAGTGGAGGCAGCAGCCGCCCGAGTCTATAACGAGGAGGACAATTTATGCTCAGGCACGAGTTGGGTTTGACATGGAGATAATGAAAACGCGTAGGTCATTGTGGATGACTTAAGCCTTCAGCAGCTGAGGAAAATGTATGAAATGCGGGGAGCATTACACGCTTTGGTGGCTCTGCACATCTGCAGCGGGGCAAGTGAAATACGGTGGCCCATTCTTTACCATAAACTTGTGGTCGGCGGATACGCGGGGCCCAGAGAAAATTGTAATTACACTGACAAGACAAATCAGCGATATTTAAATATTCATGAACAAAGTCTGGGCCGATCAATCTATCTTTATTGTCCTTGCGTCGGCTTCTGTAATAAATAAGGAGGAGCCGGGGGGGTGGGGTGGGATGGGGGAGGACTCACCTTTTTCCCTTCCTTGGGAAAGAAGGGATACTGGGGGGGGGGGATTGGCGGCAGTAGAACGATCCATTTGTCCAGGGGATTCAAGGTGGGGCTTCTGAGTGCCTGACCCCTCTCCACTCCCCCACCCGAAAAGCAAAACACGAGAGGCACCGCAGTACAGCGGGAAGTTCTGCGGCACAGTTGCTGCTGAAATCAAAGAGAAAGTACACATGAAGCACCTTTCTCCTTGGTTTCAGTGAGAAGCCCTCGGTGGATCGTGCCCCGGGCTTCTATGTAGTGTTCAGTTTCCAAATGGTGGCAGTAGAGACTTGAGTCATAACAAGCCGTTTAATCTCTACGGTGCTACAAAATTTATTACCTTGATTATATAATAGTAATAGTAATGATAGTAATAGTAATAATAAGGAGGAGGAGGACGAGGAGGAGATTGGATTTATACCCCGCCCCTCACTCAGAGTCTCAGAGCGGCTGACAAACTCCTTTCCCTTCCCCTCCCCACAACAGGCACCCTGTGAGGTGGGTGGAGCTGAGACAGCTCTGACAGAACTATGGCTTGCCCAAGGTCATCTAGCAACTGCGAGTGGAGGACTGGGGAATCAAACCCGGTTCTCCCAGATTAGAGGCCACGCACTTAACCACTACACCAGGAGAAGGAGGAGGAGGAGATTGGATTTATACCCTGCCCTTCATTACCCAAAGGTGTCTCAGAGCGGCTTACAGACTCCTTTCCCTTCCCCTCCCCACAACAGGCACCCTGTGAGCTGGGTGGAGCTGAGACAGCTCTGACAGAACTATGGCTTGCCCAAGGTCATCCAGCAACTGTGAGTGGAGGAGTGGGGAATCAAACCCGATTCTCCCAGTTTAGAGTCCATGCAAATCATCATCATCGTCAATCATCTGTGCCACATTTCTGCCACTGGGGGGCCTCTCTGTTGTCCTCTGCTTCCATAGCTGTGGTTGCTTGTTCCCTACCTGGAAACCAACTTTCCTCTGGAAAATAAGAAGAGCCCTGCTGGATCTGACCAGGGGTCCATCCAGTCCAGCCTCCTGTCTCACACAGTGGTCAACCAGTTCCTCTGGAGGGCCAACAACAGGCCATAGAGGCCGAGGCCTTCCCCAATAAGAACCTAAGAAGAGCTTTGGACTGTCAGTTTCACTCAGCCATACGCAAAGAATCGTTGCCATCCTTGTTTCCTCCTAATTTTAGTTCTAATAGGGAAAAGGTTATTCAGTATCTACCAAAGGATGTTAAGCCTAATATTACAGATTTAGTGGCCAAGTTTCTTGCCGAAGCAAAGTTACATCTATTTTCGTAAAGGAATGATACATATTGTTTATTATGTCCCTAAGTATCCATCCTGTGTCATTGTATATCCATGTATCTTACTGCTATGCCATTAAAGGTGTTTGACTTTGACCTAAGAAATAGCCCTGCTGGATCAAACTAGTGGCCCATCTAGTCAAGTTTCCAGTCTCAAACAGTGGCCCACTAGTTCCTCTGGAAGGCCAACAACAGGGCACAGAGGCTGAGGTCCTTCCTTGACGTTGCCTCCAGGAACTGGGATTCAGAGGTTGACTGCCTCTGAACGTGGAGGTTCCCTTTAGTCACAATGGCTGGTAGCCACGGACAGACCTCTCCTCCATGAATCTTTTCCAATCCCCTTTTAAAGCTGTCTGCTCCTGTAGCTATCACTACATCCTCTGGCAGGAAATCCTTTCCTTCTGTTGTCCATCCTGAATCTACCGCCCATCCCCTTCACGGGATGCCCTTGAGTCTACTCTTTGGGGAGAGGCAGAATGTCCAGTGTCTCCCACCCATGTCGTGGATCATTTCTATGATGTTCCCTCTAACTTCCCCTCTTGGTTGCAGGGGACCACCCTTACGAGTGCGAATTCTGTGGCAGCTGCTTCCGGGACGAGAGCACTTTGAAAGGCCACAAGCGCATCCACACTGGAGAGAAGCCCTACGAATGCAACGGCTGCGGGAAGAAGTTTAGCCTCAAGCATCAGCTGGAGACCCACTACAGGGTCCACACAGGTAACCGCCCTCCGTCGAACCTCCTGCCCTCAGCTCTGGCAAAGCTCAAAGCACAGGCAGCACAGAAGGGCCACCTCCCTTTGCTGGCTCACACCACCCTCCTCCGCTTTGGGTTGGGGGTGCCAAGTGGGAAGAGCTGCTAAGAGCAACAGTAAGCGACAGCCATTTGAACACCTGGGTTTAAGCTGGGGTTCCAGCCAATGCTCCCTCTAAGCTGTGGCGTCTTGTGAGCAAAAACCCTACTTTGTGAGCTACTGGCATTCAAGTTGTGAGCGAGCGA